TTCGTTGGATTCTTCGCTTATTTCGCAGCTAACCCTCATATTTGAGGGTTGTCCCACTCTCCGCAACCTGTGCACGCGTTCGGCGGCAGCTGACCTTGCCTCGACACTACTGTCGAACCAAACTGTGAGTGTGCCTTTCTCACTTGAATATTATATTTACGAACTGATATTTCACACGATTTTATATTCAATCCCGAAGATATATTACATACGTGAGACCTACATCTGCGATATCAGAGTTTACGGGCAGAGATCCGAAATTCATGAGGCCAATAAAGTTAAACTGATTAACAGCAACGACTGACGAGTCTCTCGTCGTGAATAACGAGAATCATCATTGTCCAGAATCGGTGCCCACCTTCATCTGTCGCATGTGATTTGCCACGACAAGCTTCCATATTTTCCATTTAGCTCATCTCAGTCTGAATCGAGAAATTCCAATTGAACGTTTGCTGCCTCTTTCCTTCACGCAGCATCCTGTATTGTAGTAGATAGATAATATGTAGAAACTTGACGTCGACCCCATATTCATGTAGCTACGTCCATAGCGTGAAAAATCTTAAACTTATATAAAACGGCTTTCCGCTGCTGTGCTTTATCGAAAAGACTAGATTTTTCAGGACTTATGAGTTTTGGAGGTATGACGAAAAGCATTTCGTCTGCAACAGCGTTGCCTACGCAGTATTCGCAGTCCGTCAATGAACCAAGTGTGGATATTTTAACGAACACTAAAAAAGCACGATTTGCCAAACTTTAGATGGAGAACGCATTTTATTTACATTCAGAACTAAGGCGCTGAAATTTGCTTGTTAGAACCTATATTTTATCTGCTCTGTATATCTGGATTACGCAGACGACATGCGCTTTGTTCGTTGTCTATCGCACTTTCCATTAACCAACCCCTTTAGTATTCGCCAAGCCTGAAATAAGCGGAGCCTGAAAATCTCTTAAGAAAAAGCAAACGCACGGAATGGAAGTCTTAAAAGGATTGCTTACAGCTGGAATTCAAGTGGTATGGAAAAATTAGGCGATTCCTGGAACTTGCATAACTCGCAGCAGACTTAAGATACTCCATCGTCCAAATCTAACCATATCGACATGTACGCTACATTACATGCATCATCATAAAGCGACTTGTCACAGCACACCTTTACCACCCCTGCATTGATATGTTTTGTCTTGTCATTGTCGTATCTTGAATATCGATGTTTTTCATCTACTCTACTTCGCCAGGGTTATTTAATGGAGCCTAGGGTTAGAAGCTAG